TTGGGACAGGTGACTTCTCAAGACTTGGGACAGGTCGCTTCACCAGACTTGGGATAGTTGACTTCTCAAGATTTGGGACAGGTGACTTCTCAAGACTTGGGACAGGTCGCTTCACCAGACTTGGGATAGTTGACTTCTCAAGACTTGGGACAGGTGACTTCTCAAGACTTGGGACAGGTGACTTCTCAAGACTTGGGACAGATCACTTTTCAATACTTGGGATAGGTGACTTCTCAAGACTTGGGACAAGTGATTTCTCAATACTTGGGACAAGTGACTCCTCAAGACTTGGGACAAATGCCTTCTCAAGACTTGGGACACGTGATTTCTCAAGACTTGAAACATGTGACTTCTGAAGACTTGGAACAATTGAGTTCTCAAGACTTGGTACATGTTACTTCTCAAGACTTGGGACAAGTGTCTTCTCAAGACTTGGGACACGTGATTTCTGAAGACTTGGGAAAACTGACTTTTCAAGACTTGGTACAAATAACTTCTCACGACTTGGGACAAGTGACTTCTCAAGACTTGGGAGAAGTGTCTTCTCAAGACTTAGCACAAGTGATTTCCCAAGACTTGGGACAAGTGTCTTCTCAAGACTTGTGACAATTGACTTCTCAAGACTTGGGAAAAGTGACTTCTCAAGACTTGTTACAAGTAACTTCTCAAGACTTTCGACAAGTAACTTCTGAAGACTTCGGACAAGTTAGTTCTGAAGACCTGGGACATACGACTGCACACGTCTTGGAATATGCGACTTTTCACGTCTGGGGACATGCGACTTCACATGATTTGAGACATGCGACTTTTCGCAACTAGGGACATTCAACTTTACCCGACCTGGTACTTCTCACGAGTTTGGAGATGCGACATCTCACGACTTGGGACATTGCTACTTCTCACGACTTGAGACAAGCTTCTTCTCAAGACTTGGGACATGCGACTTCTCACGACTTGGGACAAGCAACTTCTCTCGTCTTGGGACATGCGACTTCTCACGACTTGGGACATATGACTTCTCACAACTTGGGGCTTGCGACATTTCGAGACTTCGGACATGCGACTTCTCACAACTTGACTCTTGCGACGTTTCGCGACTTGGGACTTGGGAATTCTCACGACTTGGGACATTCGACTTCTCACAACTTGGGACTTTCGACTTTTTGCGACTTCGGTCTGCGACTTCTGACTTTTAGCGACTTGGGCAAGCGACTTCTCACGACTTGGTGCATGCGACTTTTCGAGCCTTGTGTCTTGCGATATTTCGCAACTTGTGATTTGCGACATTTCGCGACTTGGTAATTCCGACTTTTCAGGACTTGGGACTTTGGTCTTTTTCGGGTCTTTGGTCTTGCCTTTTGATGAACACAAAGAGGTAGGCTGCAAACGGGAGGGATAGAAGCCGATTCCGGCAGAGACAGATTGAGGCGTTCATCGTGTTTGACAGGCATCTCTTGGGGAGATTTTAGATAGATTTTCTAAATTTTCGAGAAATCAAAAAAAGATTTAATTTGTCTGAAAAGCGAACAAACCAAAAAATTTGAATGTGAAATTTTTCATAGTTTCTTGGTTTTGTGCTCTTTTTGTACAATTTCCAACATTTTTTGATTTTTTGGAAATTTTGTAATATTTCAAAATTCCCCAATGTCATGAAAAACGTATTAAACGAAAAATTTTCAAAAATTTTGAAATTGGAATTTTTGATTTTTTTTTGTTTTTGCGCTTTTTGGTTATTTTCAATCATTTTTTCATTTTTCTAAAATTTTGAAAATTTTGAAAAAATTTCAAACTACTCTCCATCTTATCTCTGCCACACACGGCCTCCGCAGTGTCACGTCTCCAACGAGCCCGTTCTACCCTGATGTCACACACCGAGTCACGGAGGGATTGTGTGATGCAGCGACCGAGTTAAGCAGACCTGGTAACGCACGTACCGTGACAAGCCGATCACTGCCACACCAGCTCACTGCCGTGTCTAGTCTCTGACGAGCCCGTTGTTCTATACCGGACCATGTTCTGATGTGCACGGTCACTACCTGTCCGTCTCTTCCTGTGCCAGTCTCTGCCGGACACTGTCTGCCGTGTCCATCTCTGACGAGACCAGTTTATAACACTGTCTGTGATGTGCCCTGTCTATGCCTCTCCCAGTCTCAGCCTGCCTATCTCTTCCGCATCCTGTGTGTGCCGGAGACGGTGTCTCGCATATCGTGTGTGGTTGATCGACTATGAAAATTCGAAAAAAATTCAAAATTTTCAAAACTGTGAAAAACGTCGTAAATGTCATGAAATACGTAATAATCGAAAAAATTTCGAATTTTTTTTAAAAAAATTTAAAGTTGGAATTTTGACATGTTTTTGTTTTGTGCGCTTTTTGGTCATTTTCCATCATTTTTTCATTTCTCTAAAATTTTGAAAAAATTTCCAAACTACTCTCCATCTTATCTCTGCCACACACGACCTCCTCAGTGTCACGTCTCCAACGATCCCGTTCTACCCTGATGTCACACCGAGACACGGAGGGATCGTGTGATGCAGAGACCGAGTCAAGCAGACCTGGTGAAGCACGGACTTCGACAAGTCGATCTCTGCCACACCATGTCTCTGCCGTGTCACGTCTCTGACGAGTACGTTCTATACCGGACCATGTTCTGATGTGCACGGTCTCTGCCTCTCCGTCCCTTCCTGTGCCAGTCTCTGCCGGACACGATGTCTGCCTTGTCCATCTCTGACGAGACCAGTTTATAACAGACTGTCTATGATGTGCCCGGTCTATGCCTCTCCCAGTCTCTGCCTGCCTCAGTCTCTTCCGCATCCGGTGTGTGCTTGAGACGGTGTCTCGGGGATCGTGTGTGGTTGATCGACTATCAAAATTCAAAAAAAATTCAAAATGTCATGAAAAACGTATTAAACGAAAAATGTTCGAAATTTTTAAAAAAATGAAGTTGGAATTTTGAATATTTTGTTTTGTGCGCTTTTTGGACATTTTCCATCATTTATTCATTTTTCGAAAATTTTTAAAAATTTCCAAACTGCTCTCCATCTTATCTCTGCCACACACGGTCTCCGCAGTGTCACGTCTCCAACGAGCACGTTCTATTTGGGTGTCACACACCGACACACGGAGAGACCGTGTGATGCAGAGACAGAGTCAAACAGACCTGGTGACGCACTGACAGTGACATGCCGATCTCTGCCACGCCAGGTCTCTGTCGTTTCACGTCTCTGACGAGCCCGTTCTATACCGGACCATGTCCTGGTGTGCACGGTCTCTGGCTTTCCGTCTCTTCCTGTGCCAGTCTCTACCGGACACGATGTCTGCCGTGTCCATCTCTGACGATGCCGGTTTATAAATAGACCATCATAATCGTATTAAATGTAAAATTTAAAATACGAGGTGCGATCGGAAAGTTGAAAGACTGTGTCAATAGAGGGCGAACCGGATGTAGTACGAGCTTCTGCCGCTAGGGAGTGCGGCCTACATTCATACTGAATCAGTGTGCCAGCCGGCATCATCGAATTAGCATTTGTTTCTTAGTTACGGGCGTTTTGGTAGTGCATTACACCGACCCTCCTGCGCTTTCGGAATGGCGTGTGCATCAAATTTTGCCAAAGACTCGCCAAAACGGCTACGGAAACCTATGAAATGCTAAAGCAAGCATTTGGGGAGTCCGCAATGGGTCGTGCACAAACTTTTGTGTGGCATTCACGTTTTAAAAATGGCCGAACCTCTGTCGATGATGCCGAGCGTTCTGGACGACCATCTTCGAGCACAACGCCCGAAACTGTTACGAAGATCGACGTCGTACCATCAACGACTTGTGCGACATTTTTGGGATAGGCTATGGGACCTGTCAGCTGATTCTAAAGGAAGAACTCCACATGCGACGCATCCTGTCTGAGGCCCAGAAGCAGAATCGACTTCTCGTTTGTCAGGAGTTTAAAGATCTTGCAAGAACCGACCCCACCTTCCTTTCTAAGCTCCGTGTGACTTCTTCCTCTTTCCAAAGATGAAAATTCAGCTAAAGGGAAGGAGATTTGAGACGATAGAAGAGATTCAGGCAGAATCGCAGATGGTGCTTGACAGGCTGACAAAGAAAGATTTCCAGGGATGCTTCCAGGCTTGGCAGCGGCGCTGTGATCGTTGTGTTCACTCCCAGGGGAACTACTTCGAGGGTGATGGATGAATTTAATACCTGAGATAATTGTACGGGTTTTTATAGGCGCAGTCTGGAAACTTTCCGATCGCACCTCCTATATCTTAATGATTTTTTTAGTTCTTTTTCAAATTGTTTTGGTTTTGTGCGCTTTTTGAACATTTGTCCTAAATTTTTATTTTTTTTCGAAAATTTAGAAAAAATGTAAAAAAATTAGGTAGGCTAGGCTAGAGTATTTTAAGCTAGGTCAGGGATTACAAGGTATGTTAAAGTAGGGTATATTAGACTAAGCTATAATAGGTTAGACTATTTTCCGCTCCACTAGGTAATGCTATTGCAGACTTGGCTGAACAGAAGGTTATTATTGACTAACATAGGTTACTTTAGGGTAGTCTATTCTAAGGTGGATTAGATTAGTATGTTAGTTTATTGTGGGATGTTGTACAGTTGACTAGGCTAGGTTATTCTAATGCAGGCTAGTCTACCCTAGCCTATCCGACCTACCCTAGACTGTCTTATACTAGCCGAGCATACCCTAGACAAGTCTCGCCTAACCTAACCCTGATTGTCTTAGTCTAATCTATCCTACATCAGCTTTGCTTACCATTGCCTAACCTAACCTACATTGCATACCATTTCTTTTTCTAGTCGGACTTAGTCTTTAATAGATTAGCCTATCTTAGCCTAGCCCAGAATAACCCAACCTATCCCAACTTAACCCAGCCTAACCTAACCTAACCTAACCTTACCTAACTTAACCTAGCCAATCCCACCAGGTCAGCCCAGCCTTTTCTTGTTTGTTTTGTATTTCTTTAATAATTGCCTAAAAATGTCATAAATGTTTTCTATAGTATACATTGTTTGTTTTTTGGACAGTCTCTTCATATTTCCACAAGCTGGTCCAGATATCAAGTATCTTCTGGGTTTTATCAGAACACAGCTCAGTACGTCAGTCACTGTAGGTCTTGTTTTTGGGCCCAAAGTAAGTAAATATATTACACATGTATTAACATATATAAGCCGGCATAGCAGATCAACAATTTATCAGATCTGCATCAGTCAGATACTAGAGAAAACATGGGAGTACAGTCGGACCGTACATCAATTGTTTATAGATTTAAAAAAGTCTACGACTGTATTAAGAGAGAATTGTTATACGATATTCCCATTGAATTTGGTATACCAAAGATACTATTGAGTCTAATAAAAATATGCCTATATGAAACCTGTATAAAAATTCATATAGGTAAATATTTATCTGACTCATTTTCCATCAAGAACGGTCTGAAAGGAGATGCTTTGTCTCCATTGCTCTTTAACTTTGCGTTAGAATTCGCCATCAGGAAAGTCCAAGATAGGCAGGAGGGTAGGCAGTTGAATGGGACACTTCAGCTATTGACATATGCTGATGATGTTAATTTATTGGGCGACGATATAAATACAATAAAGAGAAACAGAAGTTTTACTTGAAGCTAGTAGAAAGGTGAGGCTAGAAGTAAATTCTGAAAAAACTTAAGTACATATTATTATCCCGTCAGCAGACAGGCGGACAAAATCATATTAGGGTGGCTAATAAATCCTTTGAAAGTGTGACAAAGCTCAAATTTTTGGGAACAACAATAACAAATCAAAATGATATTCATGAGGAAATTGGGAGGAGAGTAAATTCCAGAAATGGTTGCTACTTCTCAGTTCAAAATATTTTGTCTTCCCATCTGATTTCTAACCTAAATATTAAAATATACAAAACGATAATTTTGCCTGTTGTTTTGTATGGGTGCGAAACATGGTCTCTCACTCTGAGGGAAGAACATAGATTGCAGGTGTTTGAGAATAGGGTGTTGAGGAGGATATTTTGGTCTAGGGGAGAAGAGGATGGGTATGGTGAAAACTGCATAATGATTAGCTTAGAAATTTGTACCCCTCCCCCAATATTGTCAGGGTGATTAAGTCAAGAAGGATGAGATGGGTGGGCATATGGCGCTCATGGATGGGACAAGAGGTGTGCACCGGGTATTGGTCGGAAAATCTGAGGGAAGAGACCGCTGGGGAGACCTAGACGTAGATGGGAGGATAATGTCAATGGGATTTGTGGGAGATAGGAGTTGAAGGAGACTGTGTTTTGTTGGCCCAGGACAGTGTCTGGTGGAGGGCTTTGGTTAATTCAGTGATGAACCTTTTGGTTCTGTAAGCCGTCTAGTTAGTTAGAGCTGGCGTAGCTCAGTCAGTATAGTGACTGGCTATGAACTGGACTACCGGGTTTTGATCCCTGGCGGGGGCAGAGGATTTTTCCTCCAGGCTTTGTGTTCAGACCGGTTCTGGGGCCCACCCAGTCTCCTCTCCAATGGGTACTGGTGTCCTTTCCCGGGGGTAGAGCGCGGCCGGTGCGTGTTGCTGATCACTCACCCCGTCTAGCGCCGAGGTCAAGAATGAGTAAGAGCTATACCCTTCTCTCCCTCCAGGCACCTACATGGCGTATAGTGGGACAGTTTTATTTTACTTTTTTTATTTTAATATAATGTATTTACACCTTTTAACCTAGCAATAAACAATGGGTTATCAAATATAATACAACTTACCAAGTACATTTGTCACTAACCAGCATTTATTTAAATCTATGATACCAGAAGAAATTCAACCCTATGGGGCTACCCTCAGTGGCTCTATGTTTGGCTCAACCTTACATGTGAAAATGTATCGTCCTGTTATACATTAAATCACAATTAAATATTTAGTAAATGAAAGATAAAATGCAATATATGTACATGTTTTAGATTGCACCTATGTCCACCATTGTGCTGCCTCGTGTTTTAAAATATATGTTACAGTTTATTTACCTACACATGTGTTATTTCACTTGCGGCTGAGTTAAAACTTCTGCACTATCTTCCTGTAGTTTTGAAGTGTAGATATTCCACTTATTTTGTAGTTGTTGATATAGTACTGGTACCTTTGTGTCGCTTGCGTTCGACAAACGTTTCTGTCTGTTATGCAGTAGGCAGCTCTTCGCGTTTGTGGTAAATTCCCGTTTTTATTACACTAGTGGTTGTCCAACCAAAAAAACAGGGAAAAAGCAAAGGATGGATTCCTACGCAAGACATTGTCCTTTGCTAGGTTACACCATTGCTGTGTCTGAAATGAATTGCTGGAAATGATAAACAGAGCCTAAAAATTATAGGAGTGTGCATAGGTTAACGGAAATTTGTCGTAGTGAAGGGCTTTGACTTTTCAAACTAGGGGCTATTGCTACTGGTGAGAGGTAAACCCATGAAGCAAATTGTCCTTTATGAAAAGGATTTTGTTTGGATGACTATCTGGGATTTGAATCCAGAAGTGATTGATTGACTTTGGCTGATGGCCTCTATGATTTAGGGGAAACCCACTTCAGCTAAAGGCCTCCATAAATGGGAAAAGTGGGCCATGCCCCTTTTTAATTACTCTGGAATTTACCTTACAATTAAGGAAAATCATGGAAAACTTCAGTCAGGGTAGCTGAGTTACTAAAATTACTAAATTGTAAATAAATGCTAGTTAGTGATAAAAGTGGATGGGAAGTTGTTATGGTTACGTACTGCTACATGGTATAAAGGGTATGACAAATGGATTATTAAGTCTTATCAAAACTTATAGGGTCAGCCTGTAACTTGCAATTTTTGTTTCCAAGGCTCTTCTATGACAAGTAGGGGTGCTAAAAAAGGGTTATAATAACAATAACTATTGTTTACACAAAAACAATATTAAAAAGTTCTGGCATGGTGAGGAAATTTCAAATCTTATTTCAGTTAAATTAATTCTATAATTACAAAGTGCATTTTAATCTCTGTGAAAATAGGTAATCTGATCTTGGACTGAAATAAGTAAAACTATGATTGATTTTAGGGTAGGTATAGAGTATTGATTTGCAGAACAAAATGCAAGATTTATTTTAGATGAGTGGGTTTACTTCAGGTTGTGCGAGTGTTAAGAGGTCAAGGAGACCAGTGGGATAATAGAGCAAGAGCAAGGGGTGTCACAGCTTCCTTCTCTCTGAATGGAATTGGACTGATGCCTGAAGAAACTGCAGACTTATATCAGGAAAATGAGGAGCTCAAGGTACGCTTCTTTCCATACCATCTGCCATCTGTACTTGCTAAAAGAAACATGCATGGTTCTTATCCTGTGCAGAGTAGAGTTCATATTCATACTTTGGTTACCCAAGATGGTGGAGCACCTACTCGTCATGTTCGATGCATGCAAATGGCATCTGCCTTAGTGACAAACTCCTATTCTACTTTATATCTCACTTAAGAGGACAATGTAAAATACTGAAAGCAAGAACCCAATAAATAAAGAGTATTAAATAAAGTGAGAGAGGAAAGAGCACTTCCTTCCATCTCATTACTGGAGACATTCTTACCTTACTAAATTAAATAGTTAACAAGTCTGCACAGGTATTATACAATTAGAAGTAAATTACAATGTACATTTTACTGTAAGCAGTACTATATTATTTATATACAATACGAGGTCTGACACATAAACAAATAGATTTAGTATAAGACATATATTGTAACCTGTGTTAATGAATGTGGTCACCTACAAATAACTTGCCTTCTGAATTTACACACATTCTAACATCTTTATCACGCTTAGAAACATTACTGGAAATCATTTTTGAGAACTGCTTTAACTATTACTGCCACATGAACATGTTTGTGTGATTCAGAATGATAAAATGAGATTCTTTCATAGGGATTTTTAGTTTTGGGAAAGTGAAAAGTCACAAAAGACAAAATCAGTTGCACAAGTATGGTAACTATTCCAGTAGATGTTCTTTTCTTCAGGACAAAAATTACTTTGCCAAGAATGCAGTGTTGGATAGTGCAATATGATGATGTAAATTTCACTATTCCAGCCAAAGATTTTGCCCTTCCTTTCTTGCAAAAGTATTGCCATAAATGTTCCAAACTTTAAATGAAGTATGTTTTATTGACATTTTTTGAGGAACAACATGTAGCCATGTAATTCAGCATGCACAGACTCGCCACTGTTCCAGTTTATATACAGAAACATCAGTCTGGATATTAATTGTCAGACCTCATAATGTAATGTACTTACTTTACTTTAAATCTTTATGCAGTGGAAGTCAGAATCATACTTTTATTCTGTTGAAGTTAAATGTGTGTAGGAAACAAACGTACTGATATACAGAACACTTAAAAGAATATCATTAACACAAACAATTTTAGTACTCACATTATCCTCATAAAGATTAAATTTCAAAGAAGGGAGAAAGGATAAATGTTATGTCACCGACTTAAATTCAAATATTGGTGAATTATGATTAACATCTGTGATTTATGAATAAAGAGCAGAAATTTAATTTGCAAAGCTCATGTGTTCTATTTAAGCACTTAACAGCTGCAAATTGTGGAACAACTTGTAACCAGGAGACTAACATTGATATTTTCACCACTACAAGAACCTCAAATATCACATAACTTTTAAAATATCAAGGCAACATTGCTAATATTAGTTTCATATTTATAACATTTCTTATTTTACAACAATGTACAGTAAAATTCTGTGAACTTCTCAATAACAAACATGCCCCCACAATAAAATAAAGTGTGACTGAGACAAGAAACGCATATGTATTTATTGACTGTGTAACCTCAATTTGAGGAATCAGAATTCTCTGCATTCCACAACATGAAGTATTTTTCTGAATATGAGTTCTCCACTCTGTGCAGTATCTGTAGGAAATAAATATTTGTCACAGTCCCAGAAGCAGTCTGACCAGGAAATAATCCTATTTATTTCTGTAATAGAAGTTGCAGTGTTTAATGCTATGTTCAAGGCAAAAATATAGAGAAACAAATTGTAAGATCTTTCAGATCACTTTCATTGTTACTAATGTTACAGTAATGCTTAATTGTTTATATCACTTCAGGGTGTTGAGCATTGTATTTCAGTATCTAAATGATATAAGTTAACAATTTTCCCACATTTGTAATACAATAAGCCATCTTGTTACAAGAACAGTATATGCATGTACATAGGTTTTCAGTTATTGTAGTATGATGTCTTCCTGGGCAATCAGCTGTGTGACAATGGAGTTAATAACTGTACGCTCACATCGCTTCAGATCTTATATAGTTAAAAGTAGGATCATGGCTGTGTTAACACATTATGCAAACAGCGAACAGGACAATAGTTAAGATTTAATTCCATCATCACACAAATCTGCAATCAAACAAGAAAATACCATTTTTGCTGAAGAAGAGAATTCTTTAAACAATATAAGTTTAGTGTCCATCTGTTTTTGAGCCAACATTACTCTGCAAGAGGATTTTAAAAGCTATCAGAAAAGGTGAAGCAGATTTTCATATACATTGGCACCTTGTTTAAAACACAACTATGGAGGTAAACAAGGACAAGACTTTTTTAAACCCTGTAAGAATTAAATTATTATAAATTGAATAAAATGTAAGAAATTTTATATTTGTGTAATATTTTGAACACAATACAATGCTGTAGTCTGAAGACTGCATTTTCTTATATTACTAGGTATAAATAAAATATAATATAATCCAGTGTAACTGTGATTGCATATACTGTACTGAGTGTTACTCATATTCAGTAAATATGTATTTTCAGATAAAACTGTTTATAGCTGAATCTAGTAAAAGTTCTGCTTCTGCTTAAATTTCTTAATGAATACCTACTGCCAGTTCATTAAAATATTGCACTGAATTGAATATTTTTCATTTAACACAAAAGATTCACATAAGTAATAAGTATATCATGTTTTAAAATGGTTAGAATTTAAGTACTGTAGCACACAGCGATTTATTATCCTGAGGGATTAGTTTTATGAGGACAGGAAAACTGCTTTCCTTTGAGATCGAACACATCTTTGGCCTAAAACTTCTTCATGAAAAGGAAGTAATTTAGCATCACTTTCACTATTAATATAAAATGCTATTCATTTTCTTGTACTGATATTGTATGTACATAGACAGGGTTTCAAATATGCTGTTCAAATATTGCTTAATTTTCCCATGTATTATTTAGGCCCATATTATTGTTTTATGGATTATCAATGATGAGTTTGTTGGCCTTCTTTTTGTGCAAATGCATGCTGCGTTTATTTTCAGTACAATTATGATGTTTGGTAATCTTGCAGTTCATTCACAAGCCAGATAGAGTTGGTGCTGCATTTGTTGATATAACATTTCTTTACACCCTCTAATCTGACAAATTATATATATGTGCTTCTTTTTTAGTTCTTATTGCATGTTCAAGGTGGACATCATCTTTTGTGTTCATCATGCTCATCTGTTAATTGCCTCATTCAAATTCAAATCTCTGATTTCCATTAAATTTAACATGAGAAACCTCTGTCAAAACTTCACAGCATTTAGCTGTTTTGTCTTGACATGATGTAGAAATCAAACACTATGGATGAATGGTTGGCACTTCTGCTTCATATTTAGGAACTCCAAAATTCAAATGTTGGCCCAAAGATCAGCTATCCTCACTTAAGTTTTTGTGGTTTTCCTCCAGTCCCTCAAGCAAATCCTGTGATAGTACCTAAAATTAGTCCATGACCATTTCCTTCCACATCCTTTCCAGTTTGTTGTTTATTAATCACCCTATCATTTGAAGCTATGTATTCTGAGATAGTATCAGATTTTCCTGATTACAAATGATCACTTTTCGATGAAGAGTGTTTTCTTTACCTGCTTTCAAAAGTCAACTAACAAGTGTGGAAATTACTTAGGAAAGAGGTATATGAATGATAATTTTCAGGGCTGGTTTTCTGGCAAAACACAATGGTATGCCATAAAACTTAAATACAAAAAAAAGATCTCTTGCTAAATGTGATAGTAGTTTTCACACATAAAATTCAACATTGCCTTATCAATAAAAAAAAACTCTCCCACTACATATCAAGTAGGAGCTTGGAGCATGAGGTGGTACAACTATAACTCCTACTCATTCTTAACCTCGGCATTAGATGGGGGTGAGGGGATATCATCATGCCCTGGCCAAGCTTTGCCTCCAGGAAAGGACCCTGGTACCCACTGGATAGGAGGCTGGGTGGGCCCCAGAGCTGGTCTGGATGCAAAGGCTAGAGGACAAATCCTCTGCCCCTGTCGGGCATCATATCTCGGTCATCCAGTCCATAGTCAGTCAATAAACTGACTGAGCTACACCCTATCAATATTTTAAAGATTTATGTTTTGTGTTAAAAGAAAAACATTTGCCCCCTCTACTTCTTTGGAACATCTGAGTATCAGCGCCTTCCTGTCTAGCAGCCTAGTGTGTGCCTTAACTGATCTATTGCTTATATTTTGGTGAAATTGGCCTCTCTTGTCCTACAGAATAAGCTACCATTGCTTAGCACTGACAGACTGTTAAATGATAAGTCATTCTTCTGCTTTTCCCTGCTGTGTTATGGCTGTGTAATTTTGCATGGCATTCTGTGTATAACAGTGTCTATCTGAATGTTTTAGTTCCACTTTTTCTGTTTGTTGAGATGAAGTCAAAAATTAAAAATGTTTTAACTTTTAACATTGTTTTGATTCTATTAATACCTGACCTTATTCTGACTGTAGTCAATAAAACATCTTGAATAAGACAATACTAGAAGTGAAACGCTATTCTCAAGAAGGAAGTCACTCAGGATAAGGAAATAAATCTCTTGTAGGTTTCCTTTTCTCTTATGATTTGCATGTTTCTAGCATGAATATGTCTCTCTCTTACTTGTATATTTGTGTTTTTGACTTCAAAATATGTGTGTGTCGAACTACTAAAATTTACATAACTGAAACACAAGAATATCCCCAGTTGATCCCTTCCATTCCATAAGATTCTAAATTTTTCAATTTTGTGTTTTATATTAATCTGGTAAATTACATAAGTAAAACTGAAATATTTATTTGGATCTTTTTACAGTTCTGTTGTGCTGTACTTACAGCTACATTTAATAGATTGTTATGAAAATATATACCGCAGAATTACTTCCAAAGCAGACTCAGTCATAGGATAACTTATTCATCGATTTTTCCAACACAGTATAGGAATTCCATTATGCTCTTCTTGTCTGAGGACATCCTTGTTGTTACTTAGTTCTTGTTATTGACTTTAGTCTTGGTTTATTTGTCTGGTCTGTCATTGTGATCAATGTTTACAGTCTCGAAATTTGAACTGATTCAATTCTGCTACAACCAGCATTAACTGGCTTCTTTGAAAAATATCAGACTAATTCTGGAAAGTGTAAAATAACACATTACAAACACATTTCTAAAATGTTAGCACACAGAAAAACAGAGCATGGCATAAAATAATGAATGTGTGGCTTTATCGGGTACCAAGACCAAAGTTTAATAATTCAACAAGTTAGATAAATCTAATGAAATGTTAATGAAACAATGGTTGGAGCATACAATTCATTTGTCACAGGAGGAAATTCAGAAGTTAGCAGCACAGATTGAGTTCATGAAGATAGTTCATATGGAGATAAACAACAGGCACTTGAAGCCAAAGCCTGGTGGTTATTTCAGTACTGCCAACTTTTTAAAACAACGTCCAGTTTCCTTATAGGGAAGAATACACCTGGAGCAGAAGAAAGCTGCATAATTTCGCCAGTAGAAGGGGTCAGCGAGCGAGTCTGACTAGTGGTCAATAGTGAAGAGGTGTGGTTGTGACAGGGGACTGGCATGTCTTCAGCGCTATCTTTATTGTTGTCATCCCATGACATGTTAAAGCCCACCCTGCTGTTTGTGGATCTGTCATTGTTCCCACACACAACTTTGCTGCTGTCAGTCCTGAATGTTAATACTTGGGTATAAATAACTTCCGAACATTTGTATTTTGAAAATTTCTACAGATGATATTTGTTTGGAAAGAGTAAATGTTTTGGCTTATAAAGTAATACTGTAGCTCTCCTAAACCAGTAAACTGGCTGAATGTGTATCCATGTGCCTGGAGTAATTTCAAATGCTTCTGTAAAAAGTTCTGATATAAGTGTCAATAATCAGGGCTGCTGTAATCCCATCTCCTTAGCAAGAGATCATGCTACACTCAGTCCAATAGGTGTGACCTAGTGCATGCATTGTCAAAATTGTGCAGTTGCCTGTATGAATAGAAAATGTTTATTGTGTGTAATTTTAAGACAGGGTTGCTTTTCACTTAAGCACAAATATTACCAAAATAGAATAAGAAAGCAGACATTATGCATCTAAAAAACAAAGGATACATAATAATGTAGTGTTTAAACACATCATAGTACTAATGTCGAATTCAAACTTTTATGTAGTAACTTCATTGATTACAGGGTCACATGTTCACATAATCAGAGTCACATTTCTTTGAATTATCATTCTTGCCATGTATTAGTTATTCTCTTCAAGCAATAGAGGTATACCGACTAACAGTTTTCTTAAATATATTGAAAGGAAGAATAAGTTTGCACTTCTATCTTACAGTCTCAACTGTCAGAGAATTATTGGAAATTTATTTCAAATCGTCACTTCAAGTAATGCCCTTTGTTGTCTTCTTAGATGCAACACAATGTGCCCTCTGTCTGGCTAGTGTAATGAACTAATAAATAGATGTAACCTTTCATTAATTAAACTTGAAATATAAATTAAGCCTACTTTTTTAGTACTGAACATAATTTATTGAAAAATATTGTAAGTAGTTAATTTTAATATTTGTATTGTGTTTCATTTATTAAGAACATTTTACTCTGTTTCAATGCAGCCCTGGCTATTGAATACAATCAGTCAAGTTCAAACTAACAGTTACAGTTAGCACAAAGTGTAATGATGGATAGGACGAAAGAAATACAGTAGGCATAAATTCCATGCTCACTCATGGTAAGTGCAGGGGCTGACTGAATAATGCAACCACAACTCTTCACTATTGCTGAACGCAGAAATCTAGAAACCATAAGTTCTTGGTAATTATATTATATGATATATGGGTTTTCTAGTCAGTCATGACAAACTTAATGTTGTGTTGAATTTTATTTTTCTTGCCAGTATTTTCTTTATGAGCACAATTTCAGATTGGTGAAATCATTGTTGTTGTGACAGTTCTTGCTTGAATTATTGAACTGGTATTAAGTATGGAAAAGTTGCTGCCATTATTGCTTATATTAAATATGTTGATATTATAATAGGAAATAAGTTTGGAAGTGTCCAAGTGATTTTTAGGGTAGATTTGGGACCAAAGAAATTGGTTTTATGCCATACATTAGTTTGATATCTATTGTATATAAGACTGTCTTGCATATGCTATTATATCAGCTGCACTACAATTTTATTGACTTCAGTTAATATGATAATTCATTAACACCTCTGATGCTAATATGTAAATCAGAGGCAGTGTTTGCATTTTATTGTAAAATAAAACATTTTATTGTTATGCTTGAGCATTTTCTTTTCTACTTGTAGTTCATTAGTGTTTAATAAAGATTTCAATTTCACGAGTAATAAATACTCAAAAATCTATATGTGAGACAGACTTATAACTTCCTATGGTTTTTGTATTGCATATGAGGAACTTAGTCACTGAAAACTGCTATGCTCTCAGTTGTTATCCATCTTAAAACTAAAATTTGCCATTATATGTGGAACGTCAAGTGAATAGGATGCTGGACAAGACAGGGAATTACTTGTTGTATCTGACATTCCTACTTTATGCTGGAGAATGGAAAAAGAATGCCAGGGAAGCCTTTAGTTTCTAGAGATCATAAATAAGTTTCTACTGAAAGGTAAAGAGACGGTGCTTAAGTCTCTAATAAAGAAATTTTTCATATATTTGTTTCATTACTTATCAATATATGAAATATCTGTAACTTGTGTTTAGTTGTAATTACAGTAATTATGTGTATTACCTTTTATATGGGGAAGATGGAACATTTTTTTGCTGAAATGAAATTATGAACTACTTGTTTAAGATAAACATCAATAATTAAAGAAAACTAATGTGTCAATAATATGGATATAATGTCCAATATATTAATATTGTAGTTATAAATGGTTTCCTTCCTGTGATTACAAAACTGAGGTGGGTATATGCTTTTTGCATATATAGAATTTCAGTAGAATAACTGCTTTCATGGAAGGTCAACAAGCACCAAGTATATTTTAAATAAACAAACTGCATTTATATGCATAGAATTATGATATTTCTTGCAGCTAAGATAAAATGGTCTCACCTCAGTTGTGGAACTCCTGGACCTATAGCTGTTGAACTAGTCAGAAGTAATAATTCAATGTAAGAAGAAATCATTTCTTCATATCTGTCATGTTTTAATCAATCTTTATGAAGTTGGAGGCTACTGCTGTATTGTTATCCTGATTGTAAAGCCCACATACTACAGAATGGCCAGGACATCAAAAGCTTTTGGGGAGGGTGGCTACAAGGAAGGCAGTTATCATTGTCCCTCTCCCCTTCATCTGCTGCATTATGGAGTTGCTCTCTCAGATTTAGAACACTTCCAAAACCTTTGTTAAAAGAAAGAGATTTTGTAGTGTTACTTTGGTATGTAGTAAATAATGAACTATCAATTGTGCTGACCGTTATGCAGCATCTGGGCTTCAATTTTCTGTTTTTGTGTGCATAGTTTAACTACCATTGTGATTACTGTCAATGTCATGTCAATAAGAGAACAAAATGATGCTGTACTTAATATAGTATAGTGGCCTTACACTTCAGAGCTTCTTATTTCATTTTTCATCAAGATGATTGCAAGAAATTACTTACTTTTCTAGTTGTACAGTAATGTTTCATGGAACTAAAGCATAAATAAAACTTTAAAAAAGACATTTTCAAACCAAATAAGTGATAAATAAGTTTAAATTGTTTATATATGTATATTTTAATTCAAGTATTATTAATTATTGTTTTCAATTCTTCCTCTATTGTTCAAAATTCCACAGTCCTTTCTTTGCAGCTACATGTTGTAGTTAATTATATTACTAACATATTTATACTGCAGTTCTACAATATAATTATCATTAATAATTATTATAATCTGTACAACTTCGTTTATTATTAATACATTGAGAAATCTGTTAATTTCCAAAATACTGGAAACAGTAGCAGATCCTTTTCAGTTGCTTTTCCTCACTATGAAATTTTCTCTGTCATGTATATGTTTATTTGTTAGGTACCCAGCTCCATACATTGTTATGTACATGTGTAAGGTGTTGAGAAATAACCCCAGCTTCTAGTATGTCACAGTGTGTGCTACTAGCAAGCAATCTTAATGAGATTAAGATTTACTGTCATTCCAAGTGCATCACCGGTGTGAATGTTTCTTCCTTTTTCTCATCCCTTGTAACTATAAGCAATGTAAAATGAACAGTTGTACCATATTAATGTTTTCATGTCAAGTTAGTACTGTTATTGTCTTGTTAAACAAAGTAATCTGAGTTGCACAATTTATTTTGGAAGAAGTTCAGACACATTTTATTGTATGAAAGAATTATGCAGTAGGCTTGTTAACTGATTGAAATGACAGTCTCAGGGACAGAGTTTTTTTTTAGAAGGTCCTACTGTTCTATGTAGACAGATAATGATTGTATGTATGCAAGATGCAGCAGCAATTCTCACCCACTTCAAATATATATGTAGCATAATTTACTTTTCCCACATATATTTGATGAATTGTTAGAAAGATGATTTCTATGCTTAAATTTTCACATTGATTCATAGTTAGATTATTATATGTGGCATTACAGAATGTGAACTGTATTTGTTTTCTGTTTCCTCCCCAATTAATAATATAAAGTTTGTATTTATTACATGAGAGTAGTGTCTTCTATTGATTCATTAACTACCACTTAGTGTTACTTATTTTAGCTTTATTCCTTACACTGTCTTTCACTGCCTTCAGTCACTGTTGTGTATTGAGGTGATGAACAGAGAATATATTCATGCATACTTTGCCTTCCATACTTTTGGAATAATGAATTGTTTAAATGGTGTTAATGCTCTTTCCTAAAAATATCCTGTGCTAAATACTTGTTTGGTATGTCAGATAGTTTGACTTCATTTAATTTATTTGTAATACATATTTACAAAGTAAATTCCTTTCATTTACCTATACACTTTTAATATTAGATAATTTATAATAAAACTTAGAACAAAATTAACTGTTTTTTAAGTATCAGACAAGAAAATTAAGTGTTTTATAAACATCTAGGTTTAAGTCTGGCTGTTAGTTTTCAGTATGTTTACTTAAGGAGTTGTCCTATAGTTAACATATGTTTTATTTATGCTGTTCCACAAAATTAAAATATTAATTTCCTCTTTTACACAACTGTCTCAAATTGCAAAAGAGACAAGAAGATAATTGGTAAGAATTGCTGATATAACAATATAAAGTTAAACAAACTTATTTAGTAATAAAATTTGATGAACCTGCAATACTTGTTCAGTGATTCTGTCATTCAACCATGCAGTGGCATCTGAACATAATATATTAGTTAATGATTTACCACAGTAAGAGTTTCAATAGCACTTATGTGATATTTTGGTATAGATGAAGTTTTAAGAGGTCCATGTGGTAATTTTATATTTACTTCTTA